TTACGTTGTGAGTTCGGAACTATAGTCTGGTGTCAACTGTTAGTTTCGCCGAGGAGCAAATAGATGGCGCTTTTATAATTATGCGAAATAAACATCGCGTATTTCTATTTAATTATTTACTATGAGCTATTAAATAAAAAATAAACAAAATATTGACGAGATATATGTAAATAAATAAGTTCGACTTAACTTTTAATCACTACAATTCAATATTTAGACAATAAATTCGAAAATAATATTGTTTCCATTGCATTCGTGTAGTATTTAAAGATTGCTAAATTTATTATTAACAGCTATATTACTTTAATGTTAAAGTCGCGTCATGGTACGAACTGGGGGCCTACTATGAGCTCTTAGTGCAATCCCATTTAAGCCTGTAAGTCGGATTGCCTGTCAAATTCGTACTATGACCTCACAAAAACAATTCATTGTCCATGCTGTTTACGTTCCCCATCCGAATCCGTTCACCTTTTCTTTCATAGCAAAATCGTATCTCTCTCTCATTTGTAAAAATAAGCATTTCAAAAAAAGTTACTCCGTGACTAACTTTTTTTAGATTTTGTTACATTTTTAAGAAATTTCGTTCAAGTTTTATTATATTTTCAGTTTTATAACTATTTGTTATCTATAAAGACTATATAGCCCATTGTCAATAAATTGAGCGTTTTCATTGACTTACAATTATATGGACGTCGGGTCCGCGCTAAAAAGTGTCCGAACTTATAGGGCGTTAAAATCGTATACAGAGCGTCATTCACGCTTTAGTCTTCGTTTGTTCGACTGACAGCGAAGCAAGCAAAATTAGACAGTACTGCGGTGACATTACAATTTAAATTTTTTTTTCGTGGTTTTTGTATTACACCCGTGTCGTCCATTTATTTGTAAGTCAATGAGTGTTTTTGATAATTAAGTTCGAATTCCCAATATTTAAAGCATTGTTGATAAATTAATGGCATGAATGTTATTGCAATTTTTAAATAGAATTTTAATAATTTTAATAATTTTATTGACTGAAAATCGTAAAATAACTTTTAATTTGTGCCAAATTTTACTTCAATGCGATCAATGAAAATGTACGAATACAAAACACGTTCCAATTACGTTATCAAATTACAAACTCACCTTATTAATTTCAATAATAATGAGACATAACATGTAATTATGTCGTACGACAAATTGTAAAGTATGTTTGAAAAGTTTCCGATATTATAAAACAACGTAGTGAGTATAATCAATAATAAAATTAATAAAAAAATATATAATTATTCTCATTTAGAGCACAATCGGTTAATAGTGCTTGAACGCTCCCAGGATAGTACATCTGTCTATTTCTTTCATATGATTTAGTATGTAGTTCCTTCTCGCTGTTGTTAGATGTCAGCTAGCCAGCCAGAGACAGTAATTACGTTTAAAAAGCTTAAGTCATAATCCCGCCATGCCATTCCCTTTCAACTTTGTGTAGGTCATGGTGCGAATTTAAGCAATTCTGTTCTACCACGTCTTTAGCTCATAGTAGCCCTGAGTGAATGAATAGTCACAAAGCTGCCAATAAAACATCATAGTTTTAACATTACAATAAGTTTACTTTAAGCGCGTTATGGTACGAAAAGTCAATGTAAGGTAATATTGTTTTAAGAGGTTGTGGTAGGCCCCATGTAATATGAATAATATTTTTACCAAATAAGAAATTAAAACTATTTAAAACTCACTGATACTGTGATCACCTGAAAAAAAAAGAAATATAAATTCTAATATAGTAATTATCACATTTTATTTACAAAAAAATGGACTGTAAAAATTTGAGGAATTACATCTATTAACAAAAGTTTTATTGAAGTCAACAAAACATTTCACACGAAATGAAAAATTGAAAAGAATTAAAAAAAATTGCCGCGGCGACACAATTTTATTCATATAATTTAAAAATCCTAGCTTTACTTTCTGGTATTTAAGCTTTTATTGTACCTTACTTGTATATTATCAAAATAAAAATATCATAATGAAAGTATGAAGCTTCATTCGCGTCATACCTCTTATACTTCACTTTTTATTTTTATGGCTCCATCAATATGAGAACTGATGATTTTGCCAACGTCACAGTTGAAAGAAAAAAAACGAAACAAAAAAAAAATTTTCACTAAGCTCTAATAGGACATTAACCGGTGTTGGTAAGTTGGACTACGGGAGTACTCAGTTGAGAATGTAAAACAAAAGACAACATTTACAAATATATGATATTTAAGTGGATAAATTTACATAGAGTAACAATATGGGGGAAGAACACTAAAGTTAAGAGGTTAATTTGATGGAGTATTACTTATTTGGCAGTCAGCGCATTTACGCACTGCATTCGGTTCGCATTCGTTCCGAATCTCTCGATCTCCGTCCGGCATCCGTCCGAAACAATTACTGTCAAATAAGTAATATTCGACAAAATTAAAAGACAAGTATCAAGTATGAAGCTTCATTCGCATCACGCGTCTTTTCATTTGGTCAAGTATTGTTTATTTGGCAGTAATTGTTTCGGACGGATGTCGAGAGTAGACCCCCTGAGACTGTACAAATCTAGAAAACTTGAATCCATTGACTTACAATTATATGGACGTCGGGTCTGCGCTAAAAAGTGTCCGCACTTGTAAGGCGCTAAAATCGTATACAGAGCGCCAAACTCCGCTTTAGTCTTCATTTGTTCTACTGACAGCGATGACATTACAATTTAAATTTCGAATAGGTTGACTTGGGACATTTTTTTCGTGGTTTTTGTATTAGACCCGTCGTCCATTTATTTATAAGTCAATGCTTGAATCCTTTGAATTTAATAAAAAAGTTTAAACAAACCCCACAAGCGAGCGAGTCCTTGACGAAACTTGTGGTTAGCATACTTAGCAGCTTCTAAAAATAAAAATAACAGTTACACTCGTGTATATATATTATTTCAATGGTGACTTACGGTACTGAGGGACCGGAAGATGTCTAGATCATCCTCTACAAATAATGTATGAAATAATGACACTGACATCAAACATTGACATCTATAATCCGCCGACGTTGCGAGTGTATGCCAGAGATCATTGCTATGTGTGAGTAGTGCTTACTTGTCCTATGAAATGTTGATATTGCTTGGCGCTAGAGATCCAATATTTTGATATACTATAGAGAAACGACGGGACTATTAAGATTTTGAATGAAATACCAGAATTTGAACGATGTGTTAGTACGTTGTTCAACATTATTTAAAAATGTTTAAGGCGGCATAGTACGCCCAAGGAGCACACTTTATACGCCTTAAAACTGTTATATCTATAAACTGTCTCAATATGGTATTGATTTAGATAATAGTTCTCTATAAATGGTTTTAGAAAAAAGAAATTGTTCTTATAGACTTATTTCACTGGAGTCAAAATTATAACACCTTAATGCCAAACAACTTAATTAAGTGTAATCTCTCTTAAGATTTACTCGTAAAGTCCTTGTTTTAAGTTCATCTGTAGAACAACTGATTATTTTTAGTAAAATTGTTCTATACACATCCTGTAGTCTATTAATACTCTAAAAACTAGTGTTCTTATGTTTATTCTAGATATATTTAATTTATAGACATTCTGTAGTGTTTGCACTTATTGACAAACACGTTATAGCGCGTCTTCAGTAGATTTTATTTAAAAAATACAACAATTAGGGTTTTTACTCTATTGGACGTTGTAAGAGTTCATGCAAAATGGATAAAGTAAGGAATATTAAAAGATCTGGTGGAGGTGGTGAACCTTGGATATTAAGTCACATCATTCGACACAATCAGCGTTGCCAATGCCAATTGTTCAAAATCCCCAAAAATCACTATAATAATAATAACGTACACACTCAACATAGCCCCTAGGGAAACCCTGTGTCGCAGGTGCCATGGACACACACGTAGACAACCACAAATTACATCCAAACTCACGAGATAAATAAATGTAGGCCATACAAATATTTCTCCCGGCCCGGGAATTGAACCAGGGACCTCTGCATGGCAGTCCGGCATGGTAACCGTTCGGCCACGGAGGCAGTTATATTAATTATAATATTAATTAGATTCAACATTAATCTGTAATCAGTCAGAACAAAAAATCATATATACATATATACATATATATATACATATAAATAAAATTAAGTAAATTGATTATTTGTTGTGCATTTGGTGACACTATGTTAACGTTAGAAATAAACAATGAGTTTCGACCTATATTTAATATTTAAAGTTGACGAGTGGTAAGTTGTGTTGTGGAAGTACCAACTGCTCGGCTTTGTTTATCAATAGCTGATTTCGTTTTGCTTCATGCCGGGGACCGTTCTAAGCGGGAGAAAGAATCGCGAACCCAACACGCACCGACTGGTAATTTTACAATTCAGAACCAAGTGCTCTAATAATAATTCTATTTAAGCTGCTTGTTAATAATACGAGTGATGTGCGATGTTGAATAACACGTCGATATAGTCCATCACAGTGTTTCTAACAGTAACGATCAAACTAGCGATGCATCAGGAATTGATAGATTATATAAACAAAATGATAAAATGTTATAATCCACACATTTTCCTCACATAGCGCCAATCCCCAGAAAATCCCCAATCTAGTTGAAACTCCCCACAATTTGGGGAATTCCCCAAAAATTGGCAACGCTGGATACAATAGTCGTAATTCGCGTTCGGGTCGGTCATGGCATTTGTTCACATTTGGTCACGGCATTTGTTTGTTGACAAATAAATAAACATTGTGAAGTAATCCCGTGTTGTGAAATGATAAAAACAATTGAAATGAGCGCGTAAACTACTGTACTTCAATGTTGTGTATGTGTATTATGACGTCTATCAATAGAATACAGTGAAATCATTGTATGAAATGCGGTTGGCGTGAAGTAATAACCTGAATTTTGTTATTTCTTCCAACATAAGTTAGGTATGTCATTTATTCCTTATATTTATATGATAGGGAATTTGTCCACCTTTCTAGTCATATAGGTATAACCCATTCCATATAATTATACAGAATAACTTTTTTTGCGACAAATTGGATTTTTTCAATTGTTTTTTGACATAGTGTTTTGAAAAGTTTTTTATTGCCTAATACGCTCACTATTAAACAACAACAACAACTTTATAAAGGTTTTGTAATACTGTCAAAAGAAAAAATCGCTTAGAAACATCACGTTTTGTAGACAATCATAAAAACTTCATAGGAGTCAAAATTCTTCTACAAAATCAACTACACTAAAGGAAGTAAAAATATTCTAAAGTTTTTCTATAGATAAAGCTATAGACAAAATGCTCCCAACTGTGTTTTGAAAAAAGCTTTAAATTCTTATCGCCATTTTTATTTTTAAAGAATGACCATGAAGTAGCCGAGAAAAATTTATTATATATTTTATATTATATATTATATATCTTTCTTTTTTAAAAGTAAATCTAAGTTGAAATTAGCTTGAATAAGCCTAGAACTTCTTGGAAATAGTTTGTTTTTTGTATATATTTAAGCTTTCTATAAATATTTAAAACCGAAAATCGATAACCGTATTTTCATTAAGTTTATATTTTATACATAAATATTTAAAACTTAGCGAGCGCATTACTTTTATGGCAGGTTTTACATCACTTTCCACAATGTATTTAAAGTCGCACGTCAATTTGCGCTTTCTAACCGATTAAACATTACGCAAAAAAGTCAGAAATATTATATCTAATTTCGCCATGTTGCAATTTTGATAGTTTATATTTTGTAAGCCATTAAACTTGAAATCTATTAGTATTAAGAGAATTGCGTCTTATGTTTGTAACGCTTTAGTAGTTTGGTTTTAAAATAGCATTACTTAGAAAACTATCATAGACTATACATCATCTAAAAACTGTCTACGATACTAAGTAAAAACTGTCTACATTCTACAAGTGGTCTTGTAGCATTCTAGAAGGGTTACTTGAGAAAAAAGATAAGAATCACCAATCATAAATTTTTATCATTTGCACGTGTTCCTCGACGCTGTAACTTACAATGATTTGTCTTTATTAACTGAAAAATTAACAACAGATGTGACAAAAGTAGCCTCAACAACATGGCCGTTATGAATTGTCAAAATCTTCCCGCCATTGACGGGAAACCCCTTAGAGTGGTTATACACGGCGATTTTTAGCAACGTTGTTAACGCATCGCATTTGCATCGTTGCTTAAAATCGTGCGCGTGTGTAAAGGTCATCGAATATACAACCATAAATAGAGACGAAATAAGGGCCATCTATCCCTGGCAGCTGATCAGTCAAATGGCACAGATATGTCTTTTAAATATCAACTCTCGTTTGCGCTGACATAACAAATTAGAAAACTGAAATAGTACAGACTAACTTGTGTGTTATAACTATAACGGGGGAAGCTCTAGCCGTGCTTTTACGGAGGAGCCGGCCATAAGTCCACCATCCTTGTCATAATTACTACTACTAGATACAAACGGTGATAATGATTCCGTAGTTCCTAAAGAGCCTCCTGAAGATGATTTTAGTAATGAAAACGGGCATGATGATATTAAGAATGAATACGGAGGTGATGACAATGGTGAATTCGGTGGCAATGATGATGATCTTAAACCAGGTAATTAAATTTAGTATTTATTTTTTAACATACTTAAAGAGGAACACGTTTCAAAGCACACGTTGTTACAGCAAAATAGAGTTGTATATAACGGGGTAAGCTCTAGCGGTTCTTTTACGGAGGAGCCGGCCATAATTCCACCATCTTTGTCATAACTAACGCACATCGAGTATATAACTAGAAATAGAGACGAAATAAGGGCCATCCATACCTGGCAGCTCATCAGGCAAATGGGCTTTATGTCATTTTTTAATATCAACTCTCGTTTGGAATGGAATCACAAATTATAAAGCTGAAATAGTACAGCGCCAACAACAGACCTGTGTGTACGTCTCCGTATATTCCAAAAATATTCTGTATTTATTGTAATAAAGATAATAAAATTAACAATGGCCGTTGTTCCATTAGGTGGTGTGGGAAAAGCAGCAAAACATCTAATTACAAAACAAAGGCAATTATATTTAATCGGTAATTAAATATTAAATATGTAATTTTGCAATTTTCGTCCATTATATCAAGCTCAAGTTATGGTCGATTTGAAATGAGACAATTGACGACACCCGTCGGTTGTTGTAATGATTTGGCAGAATAATTTTCAAACAAATTTAAATATTTCGTCTCTATGTTTGCTATTAGCGACTGCATCGCTGCTAAAAATAGCCATCTCTAACCGCTCATAGATTCAGTCCAGTCATATCGAAGAAATTTATGTTTGTGTTCGATCTTTGTATTAATAATGGTATAACTTACCCGAACTATCAGCTTCTGATGATTCACCGTTACTCTCTCTCAAAACTTGCTTCAGTTTCATTGGTGCTGATTTTTTTATCGGAACAATTTTGTTTACTATCACTTTCTTGGGCATAACGTCTTTTACAATATTCACTGGTGTATTTTTCGCTGAATTGTTGTTACCAATCCGCTTTTCAGTATTTATTTTCGCCAGTGTCTTCAAAGATTTAATGTTTGAATTTGTCTTGGATGTTGGTTTTTTCTGTGAATTGTTCCTGTTTGGTATTTTTATCGGGTTGTTACTTGCAACTGGACTTTTCTTCGATGAGTCAATAAGTATTGTGTGTTTATCGTCCGTTTGAAATTGTTTGTAATCTTCATTCAATTTTTTAAGTCCATCGCCTAATAAATGTAACAATTCATCTTTATTAATTACGTCTTTTAGATTTGCTTTCGGTTTTTTCTGTAACAAACATTTGCATTTGTTAGTTATTTTTTCTGATTGGACTCTGATACTGGTGAGAATCGGATCGATGGAATTTTTCTTTGTGTTTATTTGTCGTGATCCTGATGGTAAGCGACACGCCTGTCCATAACAGTTGCAGTGCCACTCACAACGCAGTAATGCTCACATTACTGCATGCTGGCAGAAATAGGTAAAGTGGTAGTACTTCCCTGGACAAACTCTTTCACAAGGTGCTCTACTGCTGGACTTGTTCATCCCGTCACTTCATACTATAAAAAAAAAGTTAGTAATGTGGTCCTGCAAGGTTGTTAGTGTTTTAAAAATAAATTCAATGTGAATATTATGGTAGCAAAAACCATTATGACATTCAATAAAATAAATATTGTAAAATATAAAGATCTTACCAAAATTTTTACACCATTCTTATTTGCAGTTTGGCGCATTGGCTTACCCTTGGTAACTGTAAAATTAGTATAAGGAGTAATTAATGAGTCAATTTACAACATAACAGTTTAAAAGCGGCTTCCCATGGCCTGTGATATCACGAACCGCGCCGCGACGATGTGTACGAACTCGCGTAGCCATGAGACGAGTTGTATTTTTTCCAACTCGAGTTACTCGAGCTGACGTGATTGTAAATTCGAGTTGCAACTCGAGTTGACTCGACTCGGTGTCTGACAGAGCAATCGCGATTCGCGAGTAGCGAGAGTGATGCGACGTATATTCATGTGAACTCAAACCGAGTTAGCTGCAGTTCATTAAAAAATTATACGAGTTGATTCGTTGTGGGAGTAACTCAAGCTTATGATGAACTTAACCAATGTAAGGCTCATCTCGATGTTTCTAATTCGAAAATTAATTTATACAAGAGTTTTAGTTTTTGATTATCTTGTGTTCTGACAAACTGTTATTTTTTAACTGTTTAAACAAATCACTTTGTAAATTAATTAATTAATTTCTTTTTTTACAATTTTGTTTTATATTTGGACATTTCTATTAAAGTTTCAAACTATATCATGTTACCATGTGATGATTACATTCTGTTTGTATACCTTTAAAATAAAATAAAAAATAAATAACTCGATTCGCCCATCACTAAGCTCGCGTCATAGGACCACACAATGTGATTTCGCATACGCTCGGGCGGCACTCTTCCCATGCGCGCTCGCTCAGCGCGGCCTGTGAAATCACAGGCCATGGGAAGCCAGCTTAAGCTTGTATAGAGCACAATATTGGGAGTACAGTAAAATTTATAGAGAATGAAAAGGACCTTCAGCTATGGTGCTAATACATAGATATTCGTTGCCGGCAATTGCTAGACAGACAGGGGTGCACGAAAGGAACCTCTTTCCCGCACGACGAACCATATCTTCTCCGATTAGTTTTTTTTAGTTTATCGAGTTCTTAGGTTTTCGCGATATGTATAACACATAGGAAATGAAACTATTTTTCCGGATTTAAATCGCTTATATTTGTTTTATCAAACAAACCAACGTTTCGGGCCCTTTACATGTCCCATGGTCACGGTTGACTGAGGTGGTACAGTCATCAACCGGTTATGTGTAATATTAATGGAAAACCACCCTATTTTTTCACTAGAGTTATAAAAGTTATTAATTAAATACCTTATTTTTAATTTTACAAAGAAACATTCCAATGTACTCTTATTTAATTTTTTATTTTTTTTAGTTTAGCTTAGAAGAATTCAACTTCAACTTCAACTTCAGCTGTCGTACTTTTCGTCCTATACAATGAAATGATCACTTCATGAAAGTGAGTCGATTAGTAGTAAATAAAATTTTGATCAATTTCATTCTTGACCAAAATATTGACTATGCCTCAAATATTTTCACAAAAAAAGACTTAACGGTTCTTAAGACGTTTCCTTGTATCTTCTGTGGTTTCGGATTGCCGCATGCTGTCCCATTTAAAACATTCTGTACTGTATGTCATCTATACGATAAGAAGATTGCCAAATTTCATAGCAATATTTATAACCAATATTTTGACGGCCTCCGTGATCGAGTGGCTTGCACACCGGTTTTCATGGTGTCGCCATCTCAGAGGTCCCGGGTTCGATCTCCGGCCGGGTCAGTGTAGAAAAGTAAATTTTTGTGTTATGTTTCGGTTCTGGGTGTTTATGGTACCGTCGTTGTTTCCGATTTCCATAACACAAGTGCTTTAACTACTTACTTTAGGATCAGATCAACGTGTGATGTTGTCTAATATTTGTCTAAGAAACCATTCTTTTAACCGACTTAAAAAAAGGAGGAGGTTCTCAATTCGACTGTATTCTTTTAAACACACAAGTGAAAGACTCGGGAACCCGGCGGCATAAAGGTGGAAAATTAGGGGATGAATCCAGTTTATTGGACTTCACCAACTTTCCGTTAACCGATTTTAATTAAATCTGGAAAATAAATGTCGTTCCACTTTTGAGGTTTCAGAGCGGCCGAGAATCGCAAAAGGGCTTAACTTACCTTGCTCATTGCTACAGCTTTGTGCCTTTTGTGGTTGAAACCCTGGGTCCCTGGGGGCCACAGGCGAAACTTCTAGCGAATGAGCTGTCGGATCGCCTCGTAAAAACCTCCGGACGGTTTTTTAAATAAGAAAATTATAATTATCGAACAATCAATTCAGCATTGACCATGGGGCCTTTTTGTTTAAAGAAATATAACTTTATCGTGTAAAACATAAAGAATATGTTGCAAGTGACTTTTAATTATTTGATCGAAATGTGCTTTAGTAAATCAAAAATAAATTTATAGCAAATTAAGAAGTTTGTATCAATAATAAGATATTTAAATTAATAACTTTGTATTAGTAAAAAATAGTAGAGATGAAACGGATAGTGATTTGGCCGGATACCGGATATCCGGCGAACACCTAGGCCGGATAACCGGATATCCGGCCGCCGGATATCTGACCCACAACATGTGGCGACTGGTTTACAGCGCGCATCACCGTGATTGATTGATTAGTGAAGAAGTTCACATTGATGATTTGATTTGTTGTGTTCACGATTAATTTATTCGACAATACAAACAAATACATAACAGAAAAACTGGTCTTCATCCACCATAATTGGCCTTTATTGAAATTTGAGTATAGTAAATTTACAGATAATGTTATCCTCAAACTTCATAGCTCTTTCAATTACAAGTAATAAACAGATTGTTAACGACGCTGTATATTCTATTACTATCATCTTTAATCAATAAATCAATTTAATTAGGCGTACTGATTATACATTTTTCTGTTTTAATCCGGATAGTTGCCGGATATCCGTTCCATCTTTAAAAAAATAGGGTGGTTTGCATTTAATAATAGATATTACTGGTTGGTGACTTTACCATCTCAGTCAGTGAGTGATTATGGGCTGTAAAGAACCCGAAAAGTTGATTCGTTTCAAAAACATATACACGTGATTTAGATTCACGAAACATCTTCATATTTTTCCTTTTAGATTATATACTTACCTTTTTGAAAATTAAATAAATAAATTGTAACGGGGTGGGAGCCTGGAGATTTGTAACACAGGTCTAGTTACCTAGTACGAACTTCAGACTCTCGCTTAAGGTAGCTAACTTTAGTCATTATGAAGTCTTGTTTAAAATATAATTATAATGTACAATCTTCCTTATGTGAGAGTGAATAAATAAAAAATAAAAAAAAGATTCGAAAAATAGTTACGTTTCCATGATTTAACAATCGTGAAAACCTAGAAGTTCGACACGAACTTACCTGGATCATCATTTAAAAATTCTCGACTTAAAACTCCTAAAACATCTGCTAAAGTCTCATCTGTAGACAATTTGGACAATTTCTTGTTCTTGAAAATGTTTTGTTTCTTCGTATTAGCCAATGCCTTCATATCTCGAATTGCCTGTCTTTCCGATGCACTGCCATTATTTTTCAATTTCATTAATAATCCAGATTCCAGGTCCATTAGTTCCTTTTTCGTTATTAAATCATTTAGCTTCATATTATGCGCCGTTGCCTGTAACAAAATTTTTAATAATTGAATATTTAACAGCTACAAATCGAGAATCGGCAAATAGATTGACAGTCCTGATTTTGTAAACTCTTTTTAATTTAGAGACTACCGAGGTCATTGCCCAAGGTCTCCGGCAGAGCCAGTGGCACGATTGACTGAGAGACCTTGCACCCACCATACGCAAAATGGATTTGACCACACGTCAAGTTGTGGATATCCCTTCACACCAGGCCGGTGCAGCAATTAAGTTTGTTTTAAAAACGTCAAACATCTTAAGTTAACATATAAAATAAATCCAATATTTAATGGGATCATATTGCGTCACCGAACCTACTATCTACATAATAATCTCAGTACAGAGTACTAAAAGAAACCGACCACAAAAGTACGTCGATTTGCTAAGTTTCATTGAAATATCCCCTAGATCGCCACTATACAGGACTTGACATTAGAGATAATAAAAATAGGTTCTCACTACGACACCACACAAAGTATATTGAGAGAAAAAACGCCTTGAATTGGAGAAATAGCAAAATCACACATTAAAGTAATTGCTCCTAAATTAAAGTTAGGCGCTATTTATAAAAATGAATCTTCATTCGTGAACAGCCACCCTTCGAGGTGGATGATTTTCTTCAAAATGAAATGGGACCATTGTGGAAGCACTCCCTTTCCAACAAAAAAAGCATCATGAAAATCGGTTCACAAATACCGGAGTTATCGCGTAACACATACAAAAATAACATATAGTCGAATTGAGAACCTCCTCCTTTTTTGAAGTCGGTTAAAAATGCATATATAGTAGTATAGTATACGATATATATTTTTGAAATTGCTTGAATTTAACTTGTAAAAAACATAATTCTGAAATTTGTCCCTCAAGTGCTGCTCTACCTAAGCAAAATGAACCGTATTAGTACGGGAAAAGATAGAATTCGAGGTTAGGTAGTATCAACTCTTAAGGCTTATCCATTGCTTTTTCTTCCCAGAATAAAACTATATTCATTTTCTACATGTTAGCTTCTATGCAACCTGTGTTTTTACAAAAATAAAAGAGGCTATGAAACATACCTTTACTTTGTAAGTTCCAGGTTTTGGCTTGTTCAATTTTTTCGATGCCGTTGACTTTTTTGACGGGGCAGCTAGAAAAAACAACATTAATATTGAACTTTCTTGCACAGTAATAAATAATAACAATAAACAATAATTTTTTAACTTTGGTGTTTCCTATTTTCCTTTATGGAGGCTTGGGCAGAAAGACAAAGTGCAAGAGCGACACACAGCCAGTTTTAGCAGTGATGCAAACGCACGTTCGTGGTTCGCGGTGGTGTGGGAAAAACAGCAAAACATCTAATTACAAAACAAACGGAATCACATTTCATCGGTAATTAAATATGTGTAATTTTGAAATTTTCGTCCATTATAGCAAAGCTTAGTTTAAACTGGTCGATTTTAAGTGAAACAATTGACGGCACCCGTCAATTGTTTCGAATTCGGGCTGACCAATCGGAGCGCAGTTGTCACCGTATTGATAAGGCAGAATATAATTTTCAAACAAATCTAATGACATTTCGTCTCTATTCCTGATATACTCGATGGTTACAACTCTCATTTAGAGTCATACTAGCCAGTGAGAAAAGACGTTCAGATGGCACAGAAGTATCGTAATATCGCCAAATATCATAATGTTTCATAGCTTTTCTTGCAGGCCAATATAAAACAGAGGTTCAGAAAGAGACTGTTTTGTTTAAATTACGAATACGATCTAGACGATTCGATTCACTTTATTGTTGAATCGATTTACTTGAAAATCGAATTAATGAAATGAATAGATACAAAAAATCGATCTTCATAAACTTGGAATCTTAATGTGCATCCCTACACTTCACTGCGCCCGTAACCCTGAAACATTGTTATTGTTCTTCAGACTTACGTATAACAGGATCCACGCGTCTGGCGTTCTGTCTAGGTTCCAAGATCATTGTATCAGAGACGCCACGTTTCGGTCTACGTCTAGCCTTTGCTTTCCCTTTCAATTTATCTGCTTAAGAAAATAAACAAAAGTTAATTGTGATGGACAAAGGTTTTAATCTCAGGCAGATAGCTATCGAACGCGACGTTGTGCTGGAGACGGCGGTTTTGTCTGTTGCTAATATTGGCAATGCTATTCTGAAAGTCGTGTGCTTGGTTGTAACCGTCACGCCTATCCGTAACAATTCTAGAGCCATCCACAGCTTCAAGAGTCGATACTGTATATAAAAATATACGAAGACGATAAAGGCTTTATTTTAGAATTTATTTTTTTACAAATGAAATTCTAGCGTTCGTTTCGTGGCTTAGTTGGTATAGCGTCTGGCACGGTATACTAGAAGACGTCGGTTCGAATCCGGCGAAGGAATTTTTTCTGAGTGTTCGATTTTTGTATTTATAATTATAACAAACTAGTGAAGTAATTTCACAAAAAATAATTGGTTATCAATTAAATAAAAATTTAAAATACAGTGACTAGCGACATCTCTCGCCAGGCCTGGTAGCTGTAAAGGTATATAACTGGGTGATAAAACTGTCATAGATTTCTCATAGATGGCGCTACGGCTAAGAAGTCGTTGAAAAACCAAGTACAAAGACACGACGCAAGCACATAGAAAAATTCATGAAGTCCGTTGGTTCGTTCCGTGGCTTAGTTGGTATAGCGTCTGGCACGGTATGCAAGAAGACGTCGGTTCGAATCCGACCGGATCGAAGGAATTTTTTCTGAGTGTTCGATCTTTGTGTTAATAATTATAACAAACTAGTGGAGTAATTTCACAAAAAATAATTGAATATCAATTCAATAAAAATTTAAAATACAGTGAATAGCGACATGTCTCACCAGGGCTGGTAGCTGTAAACTGGGTGACAAAACTGTCATAGATTTCTCATAGATGCGCTACGACTAAAAAGTCGTTGAAAAACCAAATACAAAGACACGACAACAAGCACATAGAAAAATTCGTGATGTCCGCTGGTTCGTTCCGTGTCTTAGTTGGTATAGCGTCTGGCACGGTAAGCTAGAAGACGTCAGTTCGAATCCGGCCGGATCGTAGGAATTTTTTCTGACTGTTCGATCTTTGTATTAATAATTATAATTAAAGACAATTGAAAAATGTATATAGTATAATATACGTGTTCTATTTAGTTCAGTTAATATAAAAAAAAATCATTATATAAATAAATATAAATAAATAAATAACGCACACACTCAACATAGCCCCGCACTAGGGAAACCCTGTGTCGCGGGTGCCATGGACACACACATAGACAACCACAAATTACATCCAAACTCACGAGAGAAATAATTGTAGGCCATACTACTATTTCTCCCGGCCCGGGAATCGAACCTGGGACCTCTGCGTGGCATGGTAACCGTTTGGCCACGGAGACAGTTATAAAGTACCTATTGTATAATATATATATATTTCAAGGTAAGTTTCTATTTGTTTTCTATCGTGAAAATGTTTAGGAATCGTGTTTTCACGCCGTATACTAATCAGTATATATTTTCAATTTTACTATATATTTGTTCTAAAGTGATTGATTCAACATTTTGACTGTTATGCGGGATCAACCAAAGCCATTTGAGGTTGTATAGACTTAGATCGCAAAGATCCTGGACACTGAGACATGAGTTGACAAGTCCCATGTGCCTGTAATTTTGTTTTATCGGAACTTTTAGTACTTCATTCGGTTGTCTCCGTATTTTTATTGGCAAAAGAAGCCGTATTTTTATTTGATAAGCATTGACTTACAATTATATGGACGTCGGGTCCGCGCTAAAAAGTGTCCGAACTTATAGAGCGTCAAAATCGTATACAGAGCGTCGACGCTTTAGTCTTCGTTTGTTCGACTGACAGCGAAGCAAGCAAAATTAGACAGTACTGCGATGACATTACAATTTAAATTCAACGTTTTAGCTGTTTCATATTCCTTTACATGTCACTTACACGTTTAAATAGGTTGACTTGGTTTTGTATTAGACCCGTCGTCCATTTATTTGTAAGTCAATGTTGATAAGTTAGTAAATAACGCTGTAATATGGCCTGCGCTTTATAGAAAGCTGTGCCCACTGCCACGCGCCCTGCTCATGGTCGGTAATACAGTATTACAATATCTTCCTATATCTTCCTAAAGGCCCATTTAGATGGAGAGAGTTTCTCGTGTCGAAGATACGATTATCGAAAGAATATAAAAAACTTTCCTCGTCTAAACAATCGTGAGCGATAACCGCCTCGCCTTTGAATATTGAACGTCTCTGTGTAAACAGAACTTGAAAGCAAATATCGTATTTCGAGTTTTTGTGCCAGCCGTTTCTACCATGAGTGCAGTGCGCGAGGGTGTTTTGTTTATCAATGCTTTTCTAAGACAAAAATTAAGGAAACGAAAAGGAAAAAAAATGGGTTAAGAAATGAACTTAATATTATGAGCAGTACTAAATTTGAATGATTTTTGCATCATTTTGATATATTCATAGTCAATACCGAAGTAATCACTGAACTCGAATGGCAATCTATTTATCTATCTATCAATTCTCGCCTTCAAAACGGTTCGAACCGATTTGTACGATAATCGTGTGAACTTGAAAAAATGTCATACGAGCTCGTGTTTAGACAAGTCAAAAACTCGTAAGCAAGATACTCCTTACTGCATATTTCTCTGTGTAAACAGTCGAGGAGGCGATTAAGTTACTTGCGAATCTCGTATGACATAATCGTAGGCGAGATTTTAGCTCTTGCCTGAATGTAAACATTATGATACGATAATCTTATGGCGATTAGTGCTTACGATAATCGCGTACGATTTTTCGTCACGAAGCGTGCGATAAACTCTCTCCATCTAAAAGGGCCTTAACAGTAGCGCAACACCTTTGATGTTCCGCGATACCGCCGCCCGAGTAAGCGCTTAAGCTGTCATATGCAGATATGCAAGTACTGACGCCAAGTATAAAATATAGTAATACTATAATCACTTTTTAAGAATACTAGATAAGTAATAAAGATTTACATGCGCTGCCAAATGTTTACGGTCTTTATTTTTAGACGATTTTCTGATTAGACTGGGTCTTAATTTTTAAGTTGATTGAATATCACGATGTGTAACCATCATGATATTCGATTATTTTTGTGAAATTACTCCATTAGTTTGTTACAATTATTAATACAAAGATCGAACATTAAATGCGTTTGCGCACTTCATCCGATTCTACAGAATTTTTGTAATAACATTTAATGTAACCTTCGAAGCAGTAACTAAAGGCCCGTGAACACACACACACACATTAAGCCATTGACTTACAAATAAATGGACGACGTGTCTAATACAAAAACCACGAAAAAAATGTCCCAAGTCAACCTATTAAAACGTAGTGACATGTAAAGGAATATGAAAAAGCTAAAACGTTGAATTTAAATTGTAATGTCATCGCAGTGCTGTCTAATTTTGCTTGCTTCGCTGTCAGTCGAACAAACGAAGACTAAAGCGTGAATGACGCTCTGTATACGATTTTAACGCCCTATAAGTTCGGACACTTTTTAGCGCGGACCCGACGTCCATATAATTGTAAGTCAATGCATTAAGCACATTAAGTAGGCCGGGGGTTCTATTTTGAATCAATCGACTAACACATGTTATTTCATCCCTACCACGTATTTAACGAACTTTTTGTACGAACTAGCATAATGTCGCTTTACTTTCTTAAACTCGTATCTTAAAGGACAAAGTTACTGTAATGCAAAAAATGGATTGTATATAGAAATTTTGCAAAAAATATTTCCTTCATATTCACACACTGGCTTTTACGTATTCTTAAAGTAACGCACCCAAATTAACATCCTTGATAAGAAATTTAAAATAAATAGAAAATTTTGCCATCTCCTGGATAAATAACTCTTTATAAGACACGAGTTTGAGAAAGTAAGGCATCGAAAGGTCAAAAAGGTCATTCGCTTTTGAATTGTACTTTAACAAGAAACCACCACTGTTTAGCGATTAATGGCACTATTCGTGTAAACCAGTAACATATTGCCAATATATTACAGTCAACTTGAATCGTCTACTTCCTCCACTTGGGTCTGGCGGCTACACCCAGACTATACAAATCTAGAAAATTCGGACTTACTTCGGACGTCGGTTGTACATTAAGTCAGATTAGAATCCGATAAAATACGAATATCGCTTGTACATCTAGCATTGACTTACAATTATATGGACGTCGAGTCCACGTTAAAAAGTGTCCGAACTTATAGGGCGTTAAAATCGTATACAGAGCGACATTCACGCTTTAGTCTTCGTTTGTTCGACTGACAGCGAAGCAAGCAAAATTAGACAGTACTGCGATGACATTACAATTTAAATTCAACGTTTTAGCTTTTTCATATTCCTTTACATGTCACTACGTTTAAATAGGTTGTCTTGGGACATTTTTTTCGTGGTTTTTGTATTAGACCCGTCGTCCATTTATTTGTAAGTCAATGACATCTAGAGATAAAATGATTTGTGATATTTCAGACCGTCATTTCTTGACGAATCCTTCTTTCCGTTCCTTCGGTCCGGTTGGATTTGAACCAGTAGTGGAGTTACAATTTTTTTTTATAAATCCACATTAAGGAAACCCTGTATCGCGAGTGCCATGGACACACACATAGGTGGACAACCACAAGTTACACCCAAATTCACGAGAGAAATAAATGGAATCGAATCCGAGACCTCTGCGTGGCAGTACGGCGTGGTAACCGTTCGGCCACGGAGGCAGTATCATGGCGGTTAAAACGTCGTGACATTGAGTAAAGCGACGTCCCAAGTCACCTGTTGGTAGCTATAAAGGTCAGGGGGCCTACCACAATCTCTTAAAATAATATTACTTTAACCTTACATTGACCTTTCGACGACGCGTTTAAAGTAAGCTTATTGTAATGTTAAAACTATAATGTTTTATTGGCAGCTTCGTGACTATACATTCACTCAGTTCGTACTATGACGCGACTTTAACATTAAAGTAATATTGCTCGTATGTCAAATTTAGTAATCTTAAAATAGTACACGAATGCAATGGAAACAATATTATTTTCAGTTTTATTGTCTTAATATTGATTTGTAATGATTAAAAGTTAAGTTGAACTTATTTATTTACATATATCTCTTCAATATTTTGTTTCTTTTTTATTTAATAGCACATAGGAAATAATTTCTCGTTGTATAAAAATACGCGATGTTTATTTCCTAAAATTATGACAGCGCCATCTATATGTTCCTTGGCGAAATTAACAGTTGACACTGTTAGTTCCGAATTCACAACGTGACAATCAAGATTCAGCTTGTTTTGTTTATTTTTCTTCACGAAAATGCGGAAAAATAATTGAAATCAACGTCATTCTACAAAAAATCTATTAAAGATTTTGTTATTACATAGTTTTCATTTTTTGACAGTTAAATTCTCTGAATGTAAATAATATTAAGTACTTAACATTATACTACGATAGGACGATTCGGAACATCAAAAAAGAAAGAGATGGCATTATATAGTTCATATAGCGTTATTTCTTTCCTATTTTAGTAAGGAATAGACAATATTGGGAAGTCATTCGTTCTTTCAGTCACATTCGCAATGATACATTACTTGGTTGACAGGTTCGTCGTGGTACGAATATGAGTAATATTATAATAAGCTAACTTTAAGCTTACATTGAAATAAGATTGTTTTTTGAAAAGTTATGGCAGGTGCTGAGTTAAGAAATAGATTTCTTACAGATAGCGCTGGCATTTGTGAATTTGACGATGCTTTTCTGTTGTTGGAAATTGCGTTGTCCCACTTAAATTAGAATAAAATGTTCCACCTCTAAGGCTCAATTCACACTGGCGCAGAGTCGAAGCGTCGCGTCGTGTCCTGTTTTTCAACAAAACGCATGGCGACTTGCGTGGTCGCGCTACAGGTCGCGAAACCGCTCGACTTTAACCAGCGATTCCATATTTGCATAACACAAATTTGTACCTTAATGGGAAAATAGAGATGAAAATGATATAGGCGAAAAACATGACGCGTCGCGACGCTTCGACTCTGCGACAGTGTGTGTTGAGTCTAAGGGCGGAAAACTAGGAGATAATCCGGTTTCGCGCTCTTTTCGTTAACCGATCTCAATAAAACTTGGTAAATATATGTAATTCCAATAAAAAATCCGCTAAGCAAACTTTTGAGGTCTTCTGTTTTTTAATAAAAAAGTTATTCTTTATTTCTTTATACTCACAGTATTTATTCCAGACAGGACGAAATATTCTAGATCTAATATTTCTTGAACTTTTTTTCCCTGCTTTGCTTAAATCCCGTGTTATTTTCTTCTTCGAACGAGAATTTGATACACTTAGTCCGCCCGAATTTCTCATTTTCTTCTCTGTTACCAGAAACATAATTTAAATAAGCAATGGTCAGAATAAGGTCCAAATTAGTGGATTAATGTCTGCATATATACGTACAACGAGTGACATTTTAGAGGGCCACTAAACGCGACCACAAGTTACTCACGAGATTTTTTATATATTTCGACTCATCCGTAGAACAAAGACCTTTCTGCAAGACTGTTTATTCTTAGGACATTGTACACTTCGTTCGCTGTTCTTAACTATGGATGTCAATCGACCATTGATCGATTTTATGTTTTTGAAACGAAATAATACATAAAATTCTGAAAATACCTATAAGCTAGGCCTTATTCTGAATAACGAGATCACATTGGACTCTGTTCTTCGGATGAGTCGATTTTATATGGCATCGGCGCAAATTGAGCGTTCGAATGGCCGCGTCCCCGTCACAAGTTTCTCCGCAACCGCAATTGGTGCCATTTTAGCGGCTTAGTCGCTAGTTCCAGGGAAATTTTATGAATGTTTACTGGGCAAGAACTTGGTTTTGTCGAGAAATAATTATGGTATGCAAGGCTGCGAAGTTGTTGTTTGACGCGAGTGTTTGTATAGAAACCTGAGCAAGCGAAGGAAGCTAAGATTATAAAATCCTGACCGTAGCTAGGGTTTCAAGGTACGAGACGCGAAACAACTTAGCTGCCGAGCGAAACACATAACTTTCCACCTCACTATGGCGAGGAAAATGGTAGATGAAAGAACAGTTGAACTATAACAAACCAGTTTTAATAAACAAAATTAATTATCATGGTCAGTTTAATTCAAATTCAAATTCATTTATTCAGATAACTAGGATCCATAAGTGTTAGCAACAATGAAACTTATAATTAGGTTAGTACTTAAATTCTAGAACAGATTTTGTATTATTAATGAGATGCCGCATTGTGGGACACTCACACCTAACTGCAATTGTCTTCAGGAGGCTGTTACCGCTGCCACGTATTCTGTTCAACAGAGATGCTGATCTTTTGCGCAAGACTGCCATGAAGCTATCCACACGGGCTTCAGCAAACATGGCAGACGCACTGCAAAACCGCGGCAGCCGCATCAGCGCCCTGAAGGCGTTATTGTATTGCGTGCGCATGGCCCTGAGCGAGACTTGGGTATAGCTGGCCCACAGAGCCCCCGCGTACAGTGGTGTGCAGTAAGCTCTGAAAAGAGTGACCTTCACCTCCACCGTACATCGAGCAAACCTGCGAACCAGCATGTTCACCCTCACCGACAGTCCCCTGTGCTCGCGTTCTATATCCATGTTGTCCTTGAGGTCGTCGGCAATATAGTGTCCTAAATATTTGAAATGAGCTACTCTCTTCAATGGAATTCCATTGAGACTTATGGGAAGCACATTGTTAGGACTCTTCTTACCGGCGACCCCAAAGACCATATACTCAGTATTTTTGACGTTGTACATCAATCCATGCGAGGCGGCATAATCCTCACAAACCCCAATCAATTTTCTAAGTGCACTGATCGATGGTGCCAGCAGCACTATGTCATCGGCATAACTAATATTATTGAGACATACTCCATCTATATAGCATCCCACATGAGTGCTGCTAAGCTCACCGATCAATGTATTTATGTACAGATTAAAAAGTTTTGGAGAAGTTAATCCCCCCTGCCTAACTCCACATTCCGCAACATATGGAGAAGAGAGAGCATTGCCCCATCTCACTACGTTAGTTTGAGTTAGTTTTTTAATGTCAACAATAATACGAATACAATATACCAACGGATTTATATTAGATAAATAATGTAGTTGAACGTGTCATTATGTTTTTTTTCATCGAATGAAAAATTTACGTGCACCACAGTCCATCGTCAAGTTCGAATTATAAAAACCTTTACCACGCTAGCGTGGAAAACACTCTTTTGGCGCAGGTTTGTAATGAGAAAGAAAGCCGCTCCGAGCTAGTGTATATAAAACTAGTAAATGCAAAAATCGACCTGTCAATCTAAATAAAGCTAAAGTTAAATTCGTATGTGCTATTTTCCGGGTCCCAAATGAACAGTTGTATTGTACTAGTTTTGGGACGTCAGAGTACCTTTTTGTATACTCGTAAGCCATATTGTCTCAAATACGATTGATGCTGGCCCGTCGTGGCGGCTACAGCACTATCCGCTAGCACAGGTTGAATCGTTTTGTCGGGTCTAGATGTTGATCGACTGGTCTACAATCAGTCACTGTTAAGCACTATTATGTAAGTTTGTTCCCTACTGTAAATGGCTATGAATAAAGATTTATTTATTTATGTCTAACCAACAATGTTACCAGTGAACAGCAACGTTGAATTCGGCAAATGGACGATTTTTAGCAACACTAGTGGCCGCATCCAGCCACTAGTGGTCGCGTTTAGTGGCTAGTCGAAGCCACCACAGCAAGTGGGGGCACTGAAACCATTTTGCCGATTGTTCTACTCGAGTGCTCTGAGGGTGAGTTTTACATGTCACGCCTTCATCGCTCTACTAGTGCAATACAGTAATATTTTCAGAATACTATTGCATCTACCGCGGTGCTGCAGCACTGACGCATCGCATGCTGTACAGCGACAATGGTGTACAGGGGGTCGATTCAGAACCTCACGATAAGTCAGTTGTTGACCGATTTCTTTTCATTTTTATTCACAACACCCGAATCGAAATTCAAACTGTCGTATTCGAAACCGAAACGAAATGACGTTACACACGATTCATGGGGTCTACTCTCGACATCCGTCCGACATCCGTCCGAAATAATTACTGCCAAATAAGCAATACTTGATCAAAATGAAAAGACGCGTGATGCGAATGAAGCTTCATTCTTGATACTTGTCTTTTAATTTTGTCGAATATTACTTATTTGACAGTAATTGTTTCGGACGGATGTCTGACGGAGATCGAGAATAGACCCCCAGAACACAGTTATCGAATAAAAGTTATAGAACGTCCTACTGTTTACAAAGCAAGAATGTATCTAATATGGAAATCTCTTATTATTTTAAATAAAATCTGGATTTTGTTCAATTTTATTAATTTATTTTAATGCAAGACTAATGCATTCCTATATTTTAGACCTTTAAAGTTTAAAAATGTATATAAAAGGATTTTTATTTATCTTATAATCTATTTCACTGACTAATTCAGTAAACGCTGTTGGATAACTTATCCGAAACCAAATCGAACGCTCGGAAAGCGCCCTTCGATTCGAGAACGATGTCCAATTGAACGATTCGATTAAAACATAGATAACTTATCTATGGGTTAAAACATCGAAGAATTCTGAATCGGTGTCTAGAAGATGATTGCCTCTACATTTAATAATTATCCTATTCAGACGCATTGGATGAAGGTTAGAATTGGAATTTTATAAAATTTAATTGTGTAAGTTGTAATTGTTATTAACATTAATTTTTAAGTGACATTGTAACTAACAAAGTATAATAGATATCATTGGTAACTACCATTATGGGTCCAAATGACTTGATATAAATGAATTTATTTATTGAAATTAATTAAATAATTTTTCAGATTCCGGATTCCCGGAAACAGGTTTACGGCATCGTAAGATAAAACTACTCGCCTAGGAAGCTGCAGTGTATTTTGAACCGACTTCAAAAAAGGAGGAGGCTCTCATTTCGACGATATTTTTATTTGTGTGTATATTACGCGTTTACCCCATTTAAATTTGACGAAAATATTCCATCTATATGAGATATAAGGGTGGCAAACTAGGGGATGACTCCGGTTTCGCGCACTTTCCAGTAACAGATTTCAATAAAACTTGGCAAATAGATGTAATTCCACTTACTTTTGAGATCGGTTTTTTATTAACAAGATATAATAAGAATTTAACTTTTACTAAAGTAACTTGTATTCGCTGATTGATTATAAATCTATTATATTATATATATAATAATAATATGATTTTAAAAATAACCATGCATATGGCATCCTGAAAGCGATAGCTGATAGACCTGATTGCCCGATGATGTATACACTCGCACAGAGGCTAATTTCATTGTTAGTTATTAAGTATTAATCTAGGATAAGCTCTACTAACATTGAAATGGACCTTAAATGTTGTCTGAAGTAAATAAATTATTATTATTATTATTATTATATAGGATCAGGATGCTGTTGGGGCTGCCGCATTACTGTAGCGCATCAAATAATGTTTGCAGAAGCACATACTGATGGTTTCCAATCCAAGAAAGCGACAAGCGTCTCTGATGCAGCGGGTGCGCGCCAACAGCCTCCTGAGCACAGTAGTGGACAGAGCTGACGGTCCGTTCAATGAACGCTTCGACACATTGCATGTGGTGCCCTTTAATTGGGTTGCCAAATAAATGTATAGAATATAAATAGACAAATATAATACAAAATAATTAATGTACTTACTAACATAGTTTATAAGTCTGTTACTAATTATATATGGATTCCGGTCCGAAATAAATGCGTATTATTATTATTATATAGACATCTATAATTTTTGTAGATATAGTTAAAAATACTTAAATACTTACGTTTGTTGCATTCCTTCATAGAAACTTCCTTAACGTTGACTCCTAAAAAAAAAACAAATATATTTAAAAATTATCAAGACTTGTATTAGCATATTCTATTTAATTTCGGTGAGATGTCGCTAGATGGCATTGAACCCTTTTTTATGATATCGAGTTCTTAGGTTTTCGCGATTGTTACACATAGGAAATGAAACTATTTTTCCGGATTTAAATCGCGTATATTTGTTTTTTCAAACAAACCTACGCTAAACCTACAAATATACGCGATTTAAATCCGGAAAAATAGCTTCATTTCCTACGTTTTTTATGATATTTTCTGAAACATTTCAATAAATAATAAATAACGCACACATTCAACATAGCCCCGCAGTAGGGAAACCCTGTGTCGCGGGTGCCATGGACACACACATAGACAACCACAAATTACACCCAAACTCACGAGAGAAATAAATGTAAGCCATACAAACATTTCTCCCGGCCCGGGAATCGAACCTGAGACCTCTGCGTGGCAGTCCGGCATGGTAACCGTTCGACCACGGAGGCAGTTGAATTTTAGTCGCTTCATACCAGTATTTTTGGGACGCTATACAAAATCTCAAAAGATAATAATTGTATTACGCACCGCCGCCCTGTGTCCCAGAAACATGTCTAAAAACCTGCTCGAAAGTATTGGTTTGCCTAAAAAATCCGGTATCAAAGTATAAATGAAATTTAAAAAATTATAATTCTTGTTTTAATATTGCCTTAGTAAAACTATGGAAATTTTTATGCGTATTGCATTGACTTACAATATATGGTCGTCGGGTCCGCGCTAAAAAGTGTCCGAACTTATAGGGCGTTAAAATCGTACACAGAGCGTCATTCACGCTTTAGTCTTCATTTGTTCGACTGACAGCGAAGCAAGCAAAATTAGGCAGTACTGCGATGACATTACAATTTAAATTCAACGATTTAGCTTTTTCATATTCCTTTACATGTCACTACGTTCAAATAGGTTGACTTGGGACATTTTTTTCGTGGCTTTTGTATTAGACCCGTCGTCCATTTATTTGTAAGTCAATGGCGTATCGTATTTTTTTGTTTATATACTCGATGGGGCTACACCATCCAAAACGTACCTTTGTGACAGTTGACGTAGTTCATTTCACACTTATTGATCATTATGATATAGTTCTTTCGTTCTTTTCCCGAATCTTTATACGACATTTCGGTGCAAATCGGATCTGTAATTGGCGGACATTTCATGTTCTTGCAACGTGGATTGATCTCTATTTCAATGCCTGTAAGGATATAAATAGTTTGCTATTTATTATGTTTCGTTATAATAATTATCTAAGTAATGGCAATTTTTTATTTTTGATTAATGTAATTTATTATATTTCTTTCTCATTCTCCCTGGCATGCTATTGCCCGCTTATAAACTTAGCTCTCTGAGATCTCTTTTAGAGACAAGTCCACCTTTGTACATTTTCTGTTAATCTAATATTTATGTTGCACTTATTTGGTGCAATAAAGAATATATATGGTTTGATAGACTATTTTTTATTTATTATTGATTATTTCATATACAGTTCTGTAGTAAAAACCTTTAAACTATTTTATGGGAAAAACCCTAAATGCCTAATGTTCGTTAAAATTTACTTAATATAATTACACGACACGACTCTACGAATTGTGAGTGTGAATTAGGTACTGCATTATTGTTCTAATTCAGAAATCAGTCATTGTTTCAATTTAATTTATTTTATTTATTATTTTTTTTATTGTTACTATTATATCATTATTTATTTAGATTCTCGTCTCTCCGAGGGCCTAAAACATTAATTTTGAATTATTATTATTATTATTATTATTATTCCTCTGTTGTTTTGTTTATATGCGTGTCTGTGCTTGTGTAATAAACATTTTTCTTTCTTTCTCAATTACAAACTTCAGATCCATGTAAGACTACCCCATCGAGTATATAACCAGAAATAGAGACGAAATGTCATTTAATTTGTTTGAAAACTATTCTGTCATATCATTACTGTGACAACTGCGCTCTGATTGGCTAGCCCGAGTTCGAAACAATTGACGGGTGTCGTCAACTATTTCACTTCAAATCGACCAGTTACCTTGAGCTTTGCTATAATGGACGAAAATTGCAAAATACATATTTAATATTTAATTACCGATGAAATGTGATTCCGTTTGTTTTGTAATTAGATATTTTGCTGTTTTTCCCATACCACCGAATAGAACAGCACGGTATTGTTAGAGATATTATCTTTATTACAATAAATACAGATTATTTTTGGAATATACGGTGACGTACATTATATACTTGGCCTGTCTATATTTCAGTGCAAACGACAGTTGATATTTATAAGAGCTGTATCGCTAACGTATTACCAGGAATATATGGCCCTTATTTCGTCTCTATTTCTGGTTATATACTCGATGGTCTGCCCTCAGGTTCTCATTTCCTCTGTATTTTTTTTGCATGTATGTTCCGCCATTACTCCGTATTTGTGAACGTATTCCCATGATTCTTTTTTTGTTGGAAAGGGTTAGTAGTAGTGGTGGTCCTTAGTAGTGGTCCCATTGAAATTTGAAGAAAATATTGTACTGCTAAGTGTGGCTACCAAGGGGCCGAATCCAGTTTATCGAATTCACTTACTTTTCGTTAACAGATTTTAAATAAAATTTAAGAAATTTTCCATTAACTTTGCATTTTTGTATTGTTTTAATAAAAATATTATAATTATCGATTATTACTTACAATTTAATTGATTTTTCTATGTCAAATTCAAATTCAAATTCAAATTCAAAATAATCTTTATTTCATAGGTAAGCATTATTACACTTGAAATCGTCACAATGGTTAAACTTTACCGCTCATTCGTAAGGCAGATTCCCCCCAGAAGAATGAGCAAGAAACTTTAGGGGTTGCTCTTTGTAAATAACATTTACAATATTTCTTTTTTTTTATTTGAAACATCAGAAAACGAGACTACCTCCATGAGCTAAGCGGGTTACTACCACGGATTTTTGTCATCCAAGTACGCAGAAGTTGTATAATAACCTTTAGTATAAAGTTTTTGTTTCACTATAGTTTTAAACCTCGTGAAAGGCAAATTTTGTATATCAACCGGAATCTTGTTATAGAAGCGTATACATTGCCCCTTAAATGATCTTTTGTGGAGACGACTATCAAGAAAAGCTAGTTTATTTTTATTCCTCGTATTAATGTTATGTCTGTCACTATTTTTCGTAAAGAAATTACTATTCCTTTTAACATAAATTACATTTTCATGAATGTAATAATGTAAGAATGTTAATTTCCTTAAACTTATCTCTCAAAGATACTTTGGGGCCCAGATTGTAAATTGCCCTAACTGCACGTTTCTACGGGACAAAGATTCTATTGATATCGGCGGCATTACCCCAAAGCAAAATGCCGTATGTCATTAGACTGTGAAAGTAGCTAAAGTAAACCAATCTAGCGGTTTCGACGTCTGAAAGTCAAATAATGGATTATTCCATAAGTAAAATTTTCTCATTCACTACGCTGACCTCCCTGAGAAGAACGAGCAAAAAACTCTAGGGATTTCTCTTTTCAAATAACCTTAAAT